TTGCGAAGACGTTCTTAAAACTATTCGCTCCAAGTGTTGATTTATGTAATATTCATGATAATCTTGAAACGGTTATTGAAGCGTGAAGTTATGTCCGTTCATTGCGTTAAAACACAGATTGATTTTTTTTATCACATGTTTTATAGGTTTGTTTGTGGATCAGATACAAGTTATGATAAAATCTTCATCATCCGAGGGACCATCACTTGTATTCTGTTCAAATGAATTCTCTGGGGATTAATACAAATTCTGTTACATCACACGTTCAGTGACTCTCTGGTGTTATTCTTCCGGGGTTTTTTTTACAACTAATGAAATGAATGTTTCAATCCAGTTTTTCCGTTAAAAGGATTTATTAGATGTATAAGAAGCTTTAGAAACCAATTTGTAAAGCTGTATGTTCATATGAATGGCATAACCTAGTAGCTCACTTTTCAAACATTCTATACCACATTCAGGAGCAATTTCCTACAAAATAGATAAGCATAACTTTAGGAACTCATTTTTCATTCTTCTTCAGACATGAAGAATTTATTATAAGATAAATAGACATAACCTAGTAACTCACTTTTCATACTTTTCTAGATTTCAGACAGCAACAATAGTTTTATAGAATAGATATGTGTATAACCTAACAACTCACTTTCTATATCTTTCCATACTTCAGACAGCATGACGAATAGGTGAAATAGATAGGCATAACCCTAATAACTCACTTTTCCTATTTTTTACCCTTTTAGATGTCCAACTGAATCAATTTATAATGAAAAAGATAAACGAAATAGAAGGAAAGAAATTGGGTTTAACATCCACACAACACAAACTAGGTCATTTCCATACTAACATTTTTTTTTATTTCAATGCTTTATTTCACATAGTTGTTGTACATGTATGATCACTGGCACAAAAACTGTCAATCAATGAGCAATTTTCAAATGAACAAGCATGAGTTTCAGGTCGATTGTACAAGCATTGCCTGAAGAATAAAATGAACAAGAACAAGATTACAATGTTCCTTGTTAAAAAAATTTAATCAAATCTGAGGTTGCCTGACAATTAATTGAACAAACATCAAAGCAACCTAATTTCTGTGTTATTTTGACATAAATCTAACAAATCGAGTGACATGAATAATCAAATTCAGTAGGCCATTTCAACTGATTGTTTAGTATTCATTGTCAATGAAAACTAATGACATTTGATCATTTATTGTGTAGAAAATATATAACAATATTCATTCTTTCATTTGAAAATAAATCAATTGATAAAGGAGAATATATTTGCTTTGAGAGATTCACAGTTTTAGAAAATGATGAAAAATGATAAAAAAAAAATGTTGATTATTGAATCAAATATTTGAATAGCATTCAATTAATGATTTAGAATATTTGAATAGGGAAATCATTATTTGGAGTGACCTGGTTTTGGCAGTTAGGGGATCAGATATCTGTATACCATGCATATTATAGCACCACAAGGGGGTCAAGTGGTGCAAACATGACAAGGAGTAGGGTCTCCTGCCCAACCTCATGGGCTTCTCCGTGTCCACCGGTTTCATCCAACTGCTGAACACTCAAGCAAATTATTGAAATAAAATTGTACCAGTTGTCAGTCCCAAATGACCTTGTTTGTGTTGAATAGACATTAAACCCCCATGTCTTTCTCTAGATTTTGTATTTTCAGATATTCCTATTCCAATAACAGAATAGAAGAACAGTAAATTCAATATTTGGGGATACACAGTGCTGTTTATACAAAATTAAGACCTCACGAATTTAACTGTTGTCTTGAGGAACATATATTAAAATGTGGCTTTCTATTTATTTGTTGAAAAAAAAAATTATGTAAAAACAAAAAGTAGGCTACTTGGTTACCCTTCTTTAGCATTGTCGTTAAATATTTTAAGTTTTGAAATACATAAAACATTGATCACAAGACTTGAGTTACTATTTATGAAGGCCACGAAGAACCAAAATTTAAACTAGTTTGGGTAGAATGTAACTGGCTCTATCTACTTAAAAAAACAGATATATATTTTGCTTCATTTTTTTATACTTCCGATTTCCTCTACTACATGAAGATCTGACCAGTTGTAGGCTAGTGGGAGGTCGCACCTGTGGCCATACAAGCGACTTTTGACCTATGATGTCAGATATTTGATTAACCAGTCAGTGTTGATGTTTCTAGTAGGATATGCCAAGACCTTGCTGCAACAGAACTTTTCATTGGCTAATCCCTCACATCAACCAGAATGCGGGTTATATTACAACTCGTCCAGATCCGAGTAGTAAAGTCAAGTAAAATGAAATTTTGAAGTATAAAAAATGAAACGAAATAGAATCTGTGTTTTAATCAGATTGGCAACTGGCTAAAATGTTTTTCATATGACCTATGAAACTCTGGAGTACCTGTTTTTCAAGACTGCAAAATTAAATTAATTTGGCCTTATGAAAAAATTGTAACTGGGTAGAATGGATTTTACGTTCTAGAAATCAGAAAGTTTTTCATATGACCTACTAAATTACACATTGATATTGTTAACCTCGGCTTGTCACGATCAATCACTATAGTTCTATATTTCTCAACTGTTCGGTAAATATTGCTTCATATAAATGGAAATCAAGGAAAAGTCTAGCAGTCTGGAGTATCTTTAATAGAAAATATCGGTAAGAGTTATTAATGTGCAGTTCTGTATCATTGTTGGACTTTCATTTCCAGAGACTTTAAAACTTAAAACGGAAATTAAAATTTAAAAAAAAAAAATATACTGCAGGGGTTTGAAACTTAAACGGAAATTAAATTTTTATAAAATGTAGAATATATTGAAAACTACAGGATAAGGAAGCTATTTAGTTCTGTGACATGCATGTATTGTATGCAAAAAAGAAAATTTTCATTCTTTGGATCTGCAGTGGTTCGATGAGTATATAGCAATAGCCCACTAACCAAGATGTCTCGGATTTTATTGAGAAAGTTCCTCTGGGTTTTCCAGTCAGGTTTCCCCCTTTTAAGTAGTCCAACATGGAAGGGCCTGGCAAGGAAAAACATCTAGTATTTTGGTAACACATATATACCTCATAACAAACTGCATGATGTAATGTCTGTCTTCATTAGCCCAGTTTGGTTCAAAGAAATAGGACATTAAACCCGGTTTCATTTAGTATCATTATTTCTATCCTTTCTATATCACAAAGAGAAATCAAGAACCTGAATATCTACAAATATCGTTTAATATGTTTATTGAGGGAGACAGAAATATAAAATCTCCTTAATGGCAGCATATTATCCTCTGTGTACGTGACGAATATTTGATCAAGGAGGTTTTATTCTCTCGTAATTTGTTTTGGTTGTTATTATACGAGATGGATTGTATGGCCGTCAATCGGTCTATTAAGCAGATTAAAGATGGTAGTTGCGATACGTGGGTATATATTATGACATAATGATATAATACAGACCACCATTACAATAATATTACGCACACGTAAATTGTTCTTACACAGATCAATATAACTGATTAAGGCCAGATATGAAAAAATACTTTTTTCCTTCTCTCCTGAGCTAGGACATTAAACCCAATTTCATTTAATTTTTCTTGCCCCACGACTCAATGCATGCTAGAATCTAATGAAATTGATTATCCAACATTCAATTCAGAAAAAGAGGCCCATCAAAAGATTTTACCCAAAACCAAATTATTGATGGTGGATAGTTCTTATTTATATTGTCTACTATAGAGTAGGACTGCAACAATACGCTAACCTTACGATACGTGTACACATCGCCATATTTTTTCTTTCAAAATTTACTTAAAAATAAATACCAGTACATCATGATATATTTAATGGCGACACCTCACAGCTTTTCCATCAGGCAGTTTTAATCCAAAATGTTCCCGTAACAATCTCACCAATGACAATGAGCAGCTTTCGGGTAATTGTTAGTTAGAATCAGATATCAGAACTTCAGACATTAGTCTTGTATGATAATTGGTCTAACATCCCTTTTAATTTTGTGGCATTAATATCTCCTCTGTCATCATTTCTATCATGGCTTTACAATAATTGGAGCTTATATACAGACAATATAAATTAGGGTCAAAAGGGTCTCACACTTATAAAAGATTAACATCCAAACAGAATCAATTGCAGTGGTATATTAACATCATACAAATCATTACAAGCCATTTTGTTTATCCTTTCAATTAGTTATTTTGATATTGTATGTGATATTCTAGTGTCAGATCAGTCAACAATAGACTTACCTGTTCATACTGCAAATTACATGTTATGTAAATTAGATGTCATATCAGGGGAAATTTTAGTGCTTTAAATAGAAGGTTGTCATTTGCTTGTTACTTCTTAAAAATAGGGAAAATGCCGATAACATGTGGATTTTGAAATGGGATGAACATTCCGATATACATTAATTACATATAAATATAAGATTAAAGATACATTATGGGAGATTAGATAATGAGTTGACAGTTCTCACTATAATAGTTAAAAACTAGATAATGTAAAGGCAATTTGCTGAAAATTTCAGTCAAATTGATCCACTATGAACCGAGAAATAATCGATCGAAAGTTCCACATAGCCACGGTCATCATTACAAAAGTCGGTACGACAAAAATCATAGTCTCGAATATCCATTTAATCGTTAAATCGAGAAGGAAAGTTATGCAGAAAATCGGATCATAATCCAACAATTATAGCAGGATAGCACTGACAGCGAGAGTTGATTATGTTCTGGATACGTTAATTAATGTCTAATTAATAGTTTATATAACATTTCAGGCCTAAAGAAAGACCTGCAGTAGGCAGATTTAGCTCTTGCATAATGCATGTTTAATTATCACGTTTGTTCAAACTGAAGTCTTCTGTACACATATGAGAGCTGTTCTAAAAGATTTTCTCCAATAGGTTGTTCTATTAGACAACAGCATTAATAAAGGGGCATTGTGGTTCACTGTTTGTTTAATAAAATGTTAACAATTGCATTGTATCATTACACTTTAATAAAATAGTTAACAATTACTTTGTACCATTACAATTTAGATTTACAGAGGTCCCATGTGCATTTTGGTATTGAAATTCAACAAAATATTCCTTATAGCACACTGTATGCCATTAGCCCAGTTGCATTTCCATTATAAGTTTTTTGGACAACAAATGCATTCCCCTACTGTAGTTCAAATATGTTTTTCAATGTTTTTATATTCGGGAACTCAGCTGTTGAAATATAGCTTTAATAAATCGTTTGGCAATTTGTATTACAGATGATACTGTTGTTACCTAGTGTGTATAAAATATGTTATATAAATTACACAGTCTATAAAACGGGCATGATCTGTAGAAAAACAAGTGGAACTCAGTTCATGTTTGAGTCGTTACAACTCGTAACACCGATACACACATATTTTACCGAATACCTCTGCGAGAACAGTAACATATATTTTTCTCTTTTTGTCTTCTCTCAATGTTATAGCTTCTGCTGGTCATTCAACTATTACAACTATTCTTGTTTTTGTAAACTCTGAATGCAGGATTTCTGAAAAATTGAGGAGGGGGCATAAAATTTAAAACCACTTAAATTGTTAGTAACTGGAAATAGTTTTTTTTTTAAAGATTTTATCCAGTTTTAAGAATAATAATTTATGGTTTAACATGATTTATATCTACAGTTTGTTACTACTGGATGTTCAAATTTCATTGTATACATGTACATAATTTGAGACAAAGCTTTTTAACCGTTGCTTATATTTTGACATTAGCTGTCAATTTATAAGTTATACACTTAGTGGATTTAAAGGAGTTTTAATGAATGTTCATTAAAATATACCTTTTAAGACCGTCTGTATTGGGATTTTCGATAACTAGTTGAGTCTAAGATTATTATGAATTTGAAATGCTTCCCAATTAATTATATTTTATTTTCATGGTGTGAGTGACAATGCCTCTTTAACCTGAAAATGCTTTGATTTCTAGATGATATATATGAACATACATGTATCTGTATCTGTTGAACACATGCACATGTAACAACAATTCCACGGCTTCCTGAAACACATGGTTGTTACTGGCAACTTGTACTAAATCCACTCCTAACGTACTCCTAGTGTCTAGACAATCTGTCATTAGTAAACAAATACTTGTATGATTTATGTTATTGTTATTATTATAAAAAATACAATCTGTTTGTAACATAGTTTACACTAAGGTGATATTCAAGTTACCTTCACCTTTTGGAAATTAACAAACTCTTAATAGCATTGTTAAAGATCAAGATCATTGCTGGCCATGTGAGATATGGTATCAGGTGTTCTAGATCATTAAGCATGTCCTGCCTTTTGTAAGACAACTCTCAATACATACAGCTCAGTGATAGTTTTGGGACTTTATTAGATTTATTTTACTAAGTGGTGCTAGCATTGTACACAGTCTAATCACCGCTTAAATTCTCTCTTCTTCTTTATGGACAGTTTGTGAATAATCTACACAGGGTTGAACTAGGTATAAAATAATTTTTTGGGATGTGGATGGGTTACAAGTACATTAAGATTTTGCCTTATTATTTTAAACTATAGCAGAATAATGCTTATGTATAATAATATCTGAACTCCTAATAGCTGAATGGATTAAGCATTGATTTCTTTTTCAAGAAAAGTTAGATGTTAAACCCCACTTCTTTTTCAAAAAAATCTCCAATCTGAAGTTAAGATATTTAAAAATACTCTGAATTCCATCAGCTGAACAGATTATATATATTGATTTATTTTTCAAGAAAAGTAATATGTTAAACCGCATCTCAAAAAATTATCCAATCCACGGTAAGAAATTTTTTAAAAAATCTGAACTCCATCAGCTGAATGGATTATAGATTGCCTTTGCATTTTAACACTCCAAATCACATAAATAATGTTTTTGGGGTTTTTTTTTAAAGAAAAACCTCTGAACCTGAACAGCTGACAGGGTATATCCAGATGTAGTTGAATATTTCGGTCATTCTGCCCTGAAATAATAAAACTCAACTGGAGGAGTTGTTAACATGTATATTGTTTATAAATAACCTGGTTACAAGTGTCTTATCTGCTTTTTATATTACTTGTTTATATTCAAATCATTTTAACACTTTCCAACTTCCTTATAGATGTAGTTTAAAGGGAATATCAGTCATGTCAGTTTATATGAAGCAGAATTTACGACATAATTTTAATTCCTAACCTTGTAATGCTTGTGTTACTGTGCTTACTTTAATGTCCCTCCTTGTACCCTATTTCTTGTTCCATTTATCATTATGAACCTTTTAATATATAATATTGAAGGGCATCTTCTATATTTTATATGTTATCTAATTGGTCTTATATAATTGGTCCATCTGATATCCATGTCCTTTAGGATTAAACAATGTCACTTGATGATTTCAGTGTTTCATGAATCTGTCTGGTTTTATTCCTTATAGAGATGAAGTAGAAGTATTAAATCCATCAACATATTAATAGCTAAAAGCTTCAAGTCATTTTATATTCAAAATAACTTTGAATTACATGCAGGGTGTCAAGTGATTTAAACCATGAGAGACTGGAATAGTCTGGTGGCAATTTAATGCCATTACCATTTAAATTATTAAAATTCAAAAATATCTCATAGAACCCGTAGTGTCCTATGTATCTAAAAAGCAAATCAGCTTTTATACAAATTGAATCTTTCTAGATATAAAATATACCCACTGGAATATACATTAAATTTATTCCATAGAATTTTATACGATGTGACTAAGAAGAATATGTCTAGTCGTTTAAATTGTATACCAAAAGAAAAACTGTGGTCCCATGCATAGGTGGTATAATTTTACTGAGTATGAGAACTCCTCAAATGAGAAGTGGTATTATGTGTTCTATCTGTTTCATCCCCAAATGAAAAATGGTATCAGATGTTCTTGACATTTTATCATCAAATGAAAAGTGGCATGAACTCATTCTATTTACAGAAATGGATTACGTTGGTAGACATGTGTAGTGAGAGTAAAGCTGGGAAGATTTATGGATGGTAATAATCTGATAGTTGTACAGATCGTCAATATATCTATTATGATTAGCGTCGTCTGCTACAGCTAGTAATTATGATAGAATAATAGTCAAATGGATGATTGGGCTGATTGTTATTTGGTGTTCGTCTGATCAAACAACCCACCCTAACAATTAAAACAAGAATATGTACATCAATATACAGTCAGAAATAGTGGTGTGATATTGAATTGTCAAGACAGAATAAGCATAATCTGCTTCATACAGGGTATAATTGATACCTGTCACATCCCATATCACATTTCTACTAACTAACAAAGGTTGATAACTTTTTTTTAGGGAGGGGTCAGCAATATTTCAGTTGGTTCAATAGTACGAGGGGGTGGGGGGGACATTTAAGATATATCTTCAAGGGGAAATTTTATGGTTAGGAACATTTCCTTCACTGGAAACGATGTTGTCTAAAATTTGTCTTAAAATGTTGTGTACATACATTGTACTTCGACATGTCTTGATATAGTTGAACCAAAAATTTAAGAAAATCAAGATCCCCCAATACTCACCTGTGAAACCAGATGCTTATTTCCAAGTACATTGACACCAGTAAGTGTTTCTTTGTTGTGAAAGAATAACATACAACTTAAATATTAATCTTCTGAACATGAAACATGGTTTTCATAAAACAGATGCAAAAAACACATGCTCAGAATAAATCAACCTTCATCTCTAAACCCTTTACATCTGTTAAATAGCTTGTCATCGACCGAGATTCTGGACAAAAGATAGAACAAATGAAACATGGAAACAGGAGTTGAAACTCGGCTGGGCGTTGTTTCTATTCGTATTTAAAGAGTTAAACAAATGATTAAGAAGAAGTGATGTCAGTACAGAAGGTTCCTACATGGAAACATGAGTTGAAACTCAGCTGGATGTTGGTTCTATTAGTTTTAACAAATTAAGCAATGATTAAGAAGTGAAGGTTCCAACATGGAAACAGGAGTTCAAACTGAACATGGGTTCTATTGGTTTTAAGCAATGATTAAGAAGTTATATCAATACAGAAGGTTCCTACATGGAAACATGAGAACTGGATGTCCTTTCTATTATTTTTAAAGAGTTAAACAATGATTAAGAAGTGATGTCGGCACAGAAGGTTGCCGGTTTTACAGTTCTGATAATTGTGAATAAATTGGCTGCCAGCTGTTAATGGTAATAAAAGTATTATTCAAGCTAATAATCTGGTGTATGTCACTAGTTATCAACTTTAGTTACCACCTGATGAGATTTATAATCTAATTACTTTCCCTCTTCATTAGCCCAGTCGAAGCAGAGCAGTAGGACAATTAAACCCCATTTCATTTCATTTCACCTAATTACTTCAAGAGACATTCTTCATTTTCTTTCATATGACAATTAAATGATTGTACATGTAGGTTATCTTCTATTAATTAAATGTAGTTTCATTTAGAGGGGTTAGATGGCCACGAATGGTTAGCACCTGCGCTCTATATCATAAGGTCTGTCATTTAGTCAACTGGCAGGGTTTCGATTCTCCGTTGTGCATGACAAGGAGTAGAGTCGCCTTTCCAACCTCATGGGTTTTCTCCAGGTCCTCCGGTTTCCTCCCACTGCTAAAGAACCCTACGCGCAGGCGAATTATTGAAATAAAACTGAACCATGTGTTAGTCCCGAAATGACCTAGTTTGTATCGAGTGGGACATTAAACCCCATATCTCTCTCTCTCTCTCCCTCTCTCTCTCTCTCTCTCTCTCTCTCTCTCATTGATTATTGCTTGATAACCTGAGAGTATCATCATTGAAACCTTGCAGTTAATAAACCCAGTGAATTTTATCCATAAAGCTGTTTGTTATTATATATTATATTCCTTTCACTAAGTGCCCTTTAAAGAAAATTATAAATATTTACTTGGGTTAAAGTTTTGGCACATCATTTGCATGTTTTGGAAAATATCAAATTTTGCAACTATTTGTAATGCACGTTAAAATATATATTCAAATTGATTATTTAACATTTGATTACAGTAGATAATCTCCTTGTATATGCATTCAATCGGATTAAAGAGGTCCATCGAAAGATTTCAATGACACTCAAACAAAATTAGTTTTTGTTCTCTATATTTGAGAATTATGTTAAATACAGTAAGCTATAATATGGTATTTACTCCATACATTAATATAGTTCAATGATTTGTGCCATTAGCAAGATGAGGATTGTTGCTATTTTTAACAAAAACATCCATATATAGGGAATAAAGTTACATAGCACAGTTGACAGGAGGGAGATATGATCTACATTATAACGATGAAAACACAGACAATAAATCAATTTTGTTCTATTTTTCATATCTTTCCCGTTCTTTGAAATTAACGTGTTAATGTGTCATACTGACCTTGTTGACAATTAAGTTTTTATTTTTGACGAAAGACTATTATTGATTTTTATCGGTAGGATCTGGCTTGCAAAATCAGTCTTTCTTCATAGGACAAAAAAAGGAAAAAAATCTTGCAAGAAACATGATCAGATACATGTATTAGCAGATCAGATAGACGTACTATGGAAAAAAGAGAATATCTAGTTAATGGAAGAAAATAAGTCACTTCATCATGAAATTAATGTGAATTCAAGGATGATGGTGGTAGGGGTGTTGGTATAAATGTATATTAAAACTAGGTGCTCAGTGAGAATGGCACTGGCTTACTTATAAACCAGGTGGCAGCAGGTTCATTTCCAGTGTTCTTCCAGCTTGATTTCCACCTATTATATGTGCTCATTACAGAATATATTATCTAATTTAAAATCCATTCTTGTGGGTTTTCTCCGGGTCGTCTGGTTTCCCCCCACTGCTAAAGACCCCTACACGCAAGTGAATTTTTTAAATGAAATTGAACCTAGTTTGTGTCTAGTGGACGTTAAACCCCATTTCACTCTCTTTCTAATTTAAATTAATCTTATGTCTCATAATCCTCACCAAAATAGTGTAAATCATTCCCTGCTATTGCTGAAATGAAATAGGAGTTTAATGTCCTAATGTTCCTCACCAACTGGGTTAATGAAGACTGACGCATGAGAAAAGTTTTGCACTAAGGCTTA